CCCCAAAACCCCAAAACCCCAAAACCCCAAAACCCCAAAACCCCTCAAATAATTTATTTCCTGAAATAAAATATAAAACATCTAGAAATGGACAGTAGGAAGTATTATGGAAGAGATTATGTCAATAGTTCAGTTGTGAAATGTAAGTGTTAGGGAAATTTTGTGGTTTTTGGGATTTCTGAACGGGATTTTGAGTATTTTGGAAAGAGTTTGGATGAATTTTTAATGGGGGAGAAGTAGTTGGATGTATAGATAAATCAAAGTCAGGAGCATTAGCAGCAAGTGAGGATAGAAGGAAAATTAACCATATCGCTCCATTTAAGAATTCATCGCCAAGTAAATCTAATGATAACAGAAGTAGATGCCTTCAGGAAACAATATGGAGCCAGTGGAGGAAGAATCAACCCAACAATGCAACATTACAATCCCTCTTTAAGAATAGTAAATATTCAAAATACCAATCCGATTCAAAGTCAGCATAACAGAATATCAAATATAAACGGTATTATTAAAAAGGAAACATTATAGGTTCCCCAGATAACATGAAATCTTATGGCAAAAATGTCAATGTGAGTGTCTCAAAAGATCTATGTGAGAGGAAGAAGGTAAAACTCCTAAGAAAGCAATCAAGTAAAAGGAAGCTGAGGCCAAGCTCTCATAGAAGGGTTTTACGCCAGAACAAGGTACGTGAATGATATAAGAAAGCTCCATTGATGATTTCAAGTAAGAAACCATTAGAAACTGGCCAGAAAGCCGTTAAACTGAACCCTTCTACGAAGGTAAGAGAGTTTAAGAGCACAAAATATAAAATTAGCATGCAGATATGAATCTGTCAGTTTAAAACCACTTCAGAGAAATTCGTAAATACAAAAAGTCTTCAGCATGATTTATGAAGTTTAGATTGAACTTTCTGTTAGAGATAAGCTCTATTCTGTTAATGTTGGCTTACTCTGTACATATGCTTAGAATGTCGTATTACTAATTATGAACTTCACTTACCAAAAATATAGATAAATGAAACACAAGCGAATAAGCAAAGAGAGGTTGGGAAATTCCCTAAGTCCTCTAACTGGGAGCCATCCAACTGACACATATTCTCTAAAGACAATCATAAGGATCATGAAGAGAAAGACGAATTTGAAGGAGAAGATGGAGAAGATGAGAGCTTCTGTGGGAGTTCACTTGATTTTGACGATGGAGAAGGTGAAGACTCTGAAGAGGAAAATGACAAAGAGATGCCACATATGGAGGCCGAAGCTATACATTCATTTGATAATGTTCCAGCAGCAATAGATGAGCAGAATTTCATATCTGAAGCAACTATAAAGCCAGAAATGATGAAGCATTTTGACAAGATAAAGAAAGACTATGGTGCTAACAGTCAAGAAAAAGAGGTTCAGTTAAAGGATCAGAATGTATTAAGTCCAGTAAGATATACTTCAGAGAACACAAGAACTCAAAAGAAGGGATTAAAATAACGGATCTCTGAGTTCAAATTACTCTAAAAGTTTCAAATGAACCGAGTAAGTATTTATTGGTTACTAATTTTCTTTATAATGAAAACAGAGCATTAAATAAATCTGAAATTTTTAGAATCTCCGATAATGTAAGTCACAACATTATTCAAATAACATGCTAAACTTCACTCTACTCAGCCTAATTCAAATCAACTTCTTCAATATCCGACTCTTCTAAAGTGTTCTAGATGAAGATCACCAAAATTGAACCCAGCAAAGCCAGCTCAGTTGTAAAGAGACTTTCCAGTGAAGGCTTTGGAGGTATCTTCAAACTTAATATAAGTAGACATCCATACTCCCGACAAGTCTTCGATGGCTCGCAACGGTGCAGACTACTCAGAGAACCAGTTTTCACGAGGCATTGACACTGCAGCCACTGACACCAAGTCGCTGACCAACACGACCGAGCGCAAGAGGACAGGCAAAGGCACTCTCAGGCGCAAAAGAAAGAACATCCACATCAGGAAACTTAACAAAATCTAAGACCAAAAGCGCCAAATCCGTCTTCAAGCCTAAAGAGTGCATCCAAGAAAAAGCTGAAGAAGACGAAGTTGAAGCGCCCAACAACAACAACGACTTGGAAGAGATCGACACCAGCTCAGCCATCATCGAGCCTCGCAAAGTGTACAACATCAACAACAGCGGCTCGATCAGGAATGCGCCAATGCTCAACAATGGCATGAACTACAACAGAGCGGCGATCACTGCTAACCCAGGGAGCAAAGAAAGCAGGCGAGCCAGAAGTATCAAGAAGCCAGTCAACACAACCGTCAAGACGCTCCGGAGCATGTACGGAGGACGCCCAGACACCATTTTCTTCCAGTACCCCGAGTACTGAGGAGAAGTCAGAGACGAAGCAGGAACCACAGAGTTTTCTCAGCAAGCCTTCAAGAAGCTGGGCTACTCACTCACATTCAAAGTGACAGGGTCCACCCACATCTACAACTCCATCGTTAATTCGATGAAGATGGCAGGCTTCCAGATGGTCACTGGGTAAGTAGTGGAGTCACCTTTAGGTCGAACTGGAATATGCTCTGGACAGGCATCCCGAGACCAGACACGATCAAGAACGCTTGTAAGTTCCAGAAGATCAACCACTACCCGTCGACGATGCAGATCGGTCGCAAAGACAACATGTGGAGGAACATTTTCAGGATGAAGCGCAAGCACGGCAAAGACTACGACATATGTCCAAAAACTTACATATTTCCAGAAGACCACAAAAGGTTCAAGATGGACAGGGAGGGAGAGAAGAAGAGTGTACTGTACATTCTGAAACCAGCAGCTTTATCATGTGGAAGAGGTATCAGGATCATTGGTAAAAATAGTAACGTGAGAAGGAGAAAGGGATATGTTGCTTCAAAATACATTCACAAACCTCACTTAATCAACGGTTTCAAGTATGATTTGAGAATTTATGTGCTTGTAACTTCATTTGATCCTCTCAGAGTCTATATGTATGACGAAGGACTGGTCAGATTTGCTACTGAGAAGTACTCAACTAAAAAGAGTGCTCTTAAGAAGAGATTTGTTCATTTAACGAATTACAGTGTAAACAAGAAAGCATCAGATTACAAAAGGAATGACATGAATGATGACAATGAGGATAGTAACAGGTAATGAACATTGATAATTTATAAAGCAAATGGAACTTCACAATGCTGAAAAAGTATTACAAAAAGATGGGGATTCCAGTCAAAGAAGTCTTCAGCGGGATTAAGGATGTCATTATAAAATCTTTGATATCGATTGAGCCTCATATTGCCAATAATTACAACAGATATTCAAAACATAAAAATACTTGATTTGAAGTGTATGGTTTCGATGTAATCATTGACTCAAGTCTCAAAGCATGGATCTTGGAGGTTAATGTATGCCCCTCCTTCAGTAGTTCCTCTTACTTAGACAAAAAGGTAAAAACAATGATGCTGTGAGATGCATTCCACTGTGTTGGATTTATGCCATTTGATCGCAAGAAACTCGATAAGGAGGAAGAAGAACAAGCAAAAAATAGACTTTTAGGGTTTGATAAGAATAAAGAAGCCTCAAAGACCAAAAGTGTTGCAAGACTTGACGGTGAAATTAAAGATTTTAAAAATCAAGTAGAAAACCTTAGTAAAGCAGACATAACTATGCTTATGGAATATGATGAAGAATTATCTAGAAAAGGACATTATGAAGCTATTTTCCCAAAGCAAAGTAATATCAAAGCCTATGAAAAGTTCTTTGAGTGACAGAGATACAACAACGTGTTGCTTTGGAGCTACATAAAGCATGGAAAATCTGTAAACCTCGGGAAATATCTGAACCATTAATAATTTCTTAAGATGAAGCTAGTTTCATATTAAAAACCCAGCTCTCAATTTCTTTTAAATCCTCTTACCGTACTTCCCTCACACAAAGCTTCTTACTTCTTCTTTTCTCCACCCCTGGCTGTTCACAGGCAGGAACTGTGCTGTACATTACTCGGATGTGACCGGCAGGCTAAAATAAGTAATTCAAGGGTTGTTGTATGGGGATCATATGGAGAATCGAAGATGGGTGGAGAGAAGGTGTTGAATAAAGGATAGATAGGAAGGAATTGATTGTTTAAGAGAAGTTTCATAATATTTATAAACAAAGAAAACTTGGAAAGTTGGGTTGAAGATATTGCTAAAAATTAAGAATATAAAAAGAAATTAATTCAACTCTCCTATTACAAAATGGGGTTTTGGGGTTTTGGGGTTTTGGGGTTTTGGGG